TTTGAATTTTGAAACTAATCCTTATTTTCAAAATTGTGCTCGATGGTAATAATGTCAGAACTTTTGTTTTTCAATTGCTTTAGCCTAAAACACATAACCTAGGTAGAAAAACTTCTTTCCTCCATCTTTTGTGGGCAACTTAATACCGTTGGCTTTGATTAGCATCAGATAAAAAAACAATTTTTTCTATGCAACAAAGATCAAGACACAACAGGGAGATTAATGAGTCTAATGTATACTTTGCACATAAACGCTATGAATATGACTAATTTATGAAGATAAAGTTAAGAGACTGAAGTGATATACTATTGTATTAAAGACTCTCAATTACTTCAATCAATTTCATTAATTCCCTTGTGTTCTTCATTGATTACAAATATACTCTTTTGAGAAAGATGATTACTTGTGTTATCATCCTTTGTTTAATTTAACTTGTTTTCCTACTTGAGAACAGAGACCTAAGTTTAGGGACCTTGAGTGGGTGGTTTAATTACCATAGTGAGGGAGAGTGTTTCAAACTTGAAGATTCTATTATGTATAGAAGCTTTTAAGATCTCAAATCAATCTTGGAAGATTTAGTAAAAAATTTGAAGTGACAAGACTTAGGGACTGAATGTAGGCAAGAGGTTGGCTGAACCAAGATAAATGAACTGTTTATTTTCTTCCACTCTCTTCTAAAATAAATTTGGTGATATCATTTTTAACTTATCTATTTATTATCTGCATTTGAGTTTAAGATTTTAATTAGCTTAATTCACTCAAAGAAGCCCGAGTTTAGAACTTGAGCTCATCTTCAAAACAAGCCCAAGTTTCCAAATTAACTTAAAGACTAAGCTTATTATTCTTGAAAGACAATAATACAAATATATAAGGCCTCAATTACAGCATTGATCTTGGGACATATTAGGATATTATATCTAAACATTTAAACCCTTAAAAATTTAAGTTGATAAGCTCATCTTTAATATGCACAATCAGATTCTTTCTGATGCACATATTCTTTCAAAAAGGCAAGTATACGACATATTTGAATCTTTGTTGACAAAAGTAAAATATTAGTAATGCAAGTTTTCAGGAAAATAGAAGGAAATCAGAGAATTTTCATATAGAAAGCACACTGGAATTTTATATATGAGATTTTTGTTACAAGACTATCTACCTAGGCTGTTGAGAAGAAGAAGCTATTTATATATAATTATATTTTATAGACTTCATCTCTTGCCTTTTCTCTCCACCGCAATTCCCATGTTGAATGATACAAGTCACAAAACACTTCGAAAGACACAAAGTTACTACTACTAGACACTTTCATTAAAAAAGACACGTACAGGTTACTAGACACTTCAAGACAAAAGACACACTTAACAAAGCCATGCATACACATTATACAAGACCATTATTATTCACATCACCTACTTTGAACATTTTTTATTTGCACATCTACGTACACATTTCTCTACACACTTTTAGAGCTAAATCAGCAGCCACCATTTGTGAATAAGGGTTAGTCATGCCATGTCTGCGACTCTTTTTTCTTCTTTTCTCACTCCCCTTCTAAGTTGGCACTCAAAATCTTTTGACTCATATTCTTCAAGTATTTCTTCTAGCAAAATGTCCCTTTTTTCAAAAATAACATTTATTTGAATTTTTTTTAAATGACGAGATACATCTTGAAGAAGTGTAAATATTTTCTCTTTTTATTGTATGGCCTCCTTGAGCAACGCTTATACTTGTGAAAATGAAACTTTTTCTTTGAAGAACAAGAACGCTTGCTCTTTGCACTTAATTTTCAAACAAGGCTTCTTGCATGCAGGTTGTATATCTTTGTTCTGTTGGAATATTATTTATGAATTAGCATTAATTAATAAGCCCAATAGTTTGGTCTTTATGATCTTGTGTGGACTGTAATAGGTGGACCACACAAGTGAGCCCAATGGGTAGAAGCCCAACCCACAATCCAATAGCCGTCGGTTATTTCCTATCTCTTAACTGATTAAGTCAAAGATAATAGATAATATAATTATCTAATTATTTAATAAGGCAGTTACATATCTGATCTATATAAGTCGATCAGTCGATAATCGCAAATACACGACTCATTCTTCTACTTCTATTATCTCCGAACTCTCTGAAAGCTCTGGGGACTTGTGGGTTGTGTACCTGCCTAAACTTGAGGTAATCGAGATTTCTCAAACACTCATGGATTCTTCAGGTACGCAAACATTACTTTATTTATTTATATGAATTGAGATATATAGATCCAACACGTGGCATCAGAGCTTGGTTGTAAATGTTAAATCTAAAGTATCTCAATTCAATATGATTAATTGAATTGAAATTCTTTTAATCTTGCTCAAATTTTTCACCATGTTCATTCATGGGGTTTCTCTCCTCTTATTATTATTAAATTTAAGGATTTTGATTTTTTTAATCCTGTTATATTTGTGATGAAAGCAAAAAACAAAAATTCCTCCTCAGCTGCATCTTCGTGTTTTAGGACGAATATTTTTTTTCTTTCTTTCTGTGGTTCAGCGTTCACGTCGTTGGAAGGAGTAGCAACTGTTGCGCCGTCGTTCTAGTTGCTACAGATGCTTTTTTTTTTCTTTTCTCCTCTGTGTATTCCTGGTTCGCCGGCATCGTCTCCCTGGTTGCCGGTGACAGCATCCTTCTGTCTCGTCTTCTCGTCCGGCAATAGCTTCATGCCAGCGGTTCCCTTCTCCCTCTGGTTCTAGCTCGCGGCTGGATAAGACCTAGAAACGGGTCAGGAACCGGATCCTAAGGATTCGGTTCCATGAGTTCTGGGCCCATTTTTGTATGGGCCCAGATCTCTGATATTAAAAAAAAAGAAGGTGGGGAGAAGCTAGCGGCGCAAACGAAACCGGATCCTAGGGATCCGGTTTCATTGTGTTGGGCCTGGATGAAATCTAGGCCTGATTCAAAAAAAAAAAGAAGAGTCTGTTAATTATGTTTAGAGTTGGGAATACGGGCGGGCTCGACCCTTAAGGGCCTGAGCCCTAAAGCCTGGTTTTCTATTTTGAACCTTATTTTTCAAGCCCGACCCTTATGTAAAGAGCTCAGGGCCGGGCACGTAAACCCTTTTTTAAAAAATAAAAAAATAAAAATAAAATTAAACATTATAAATTAATTAAAATATTCTGAAATTAAAAAAATAAAATTCTCATAATTTTTTAAAAATTAAACAACACACATTTAGAAGTCTAGTAATAAAATTTAAATCTTGGTTAAAAAATAATTCATTTTTTATAAATATACAACATAATAATTATAGAAAAATAAAAAATATCAGAAATTTTATACTATACACTGATATTTATTAAATTATATTAAATCAATTTAAAAAAAATTAAAATTAATAATAATATAATGTGTGTAGGATCAGGTGAGCAGGTCATTAGCTTCAAACACATGTTTCACCAAAGAAAATAATAATAATAATAATAATAATAATAATAATAATAATAATAATAATAATAATAATAATAATAATAATAATATAACAGGGTTTAAAGGGCTACCCGAGCCCGAGCCCTTTTTTACAAGGCTTATCAGGGCCAAGCTCTCAAACTCGATTACTTTAAAAAAAATTTATTTTTAAAGGTCGAACCCTTATTTAAACAGGGCCTCCAAGCCCGGCCCTCCAGGCCCGGCCCTTATTCCAGACTCTAATTATGTTTTGACCCCAGGATAGAATTACCTCATTAGGCCCAAAATTTATAGAATTTTCTCATTTACCCCAACAAATTTATTAAAATTGTAAGTTGGTCCCCTTAACTTCTAGAATTGCAATTTTAACCCAAATCTCTTTTAGAATTACTTATTTGCCCCTGATTACCTTTCAAAATTTCACTTAAGTCCTAAATTTGTTTCCTAATTCCCAAAAGACCCTAAGGACTTTTAAAATTATTTTGTTTTATCCTAAGGTCATAAAATTTGTGACTTTGTGAATTATTGATGATACTTAAGATCTTGTAGCATTGATAATAGACATACCCCATAGGTGTGACATTATTAATGTGATTTTGATGGTTGGTTTTGAGGATAAGCTAATAGCACTCCTTTAATGTGTTAGATATTTGTTGTACCATATAAGTATGGAAATATTTAATACATTATTTTGTATGGACTTTTGTATAAGCTAAATTTTTATGATATATGAGCCTTCTTGGTGCATGATTATAGTTGCATAATTGATAATCGCTTGTTGGGAAATTCTGTTTTACAATTATGTTATGCACGCATAATTAATATTTCCCAATTTCTGTTTTGCGATTTCAGTTTCTGCTTTTATGCAACTATCCTTTGTGAAGGATCTCAATGGGACTAATTATGATGACTGGAAAGGGTCCCTGACTATGTATCTGACCATTTCTGAGAAAGATTTAGCTCTGAGAGAACCCAAGCCTGTGGATCTCTCTTTCGAGTCTAGTGTTTCTGAAATAGCCTTCCATAAATAATAGAGTGAGTTCAACCAGATCTGTTTAGTAATCATCAAGTACACAATTGAAAAGGAAATTAGGGACAGCATTCTTGAAAATAGACTTGAAAAAGTGTGTTTCTGAAATAGCCTTCCATAAAATTAACTCTTTTTTTTTTCTCTTCCAGATTCCAACTTGGGACCTACTGCATAGACTTGCTCAGCTGCCACTAGACCAAGTCTCTAACTTATTATATTTATCCCAAGAACTAATATAAACACACTTTAAGCAAGTTAACCTATTTATTTATTTATTTATTTTAAATTTAGTCAGGGTTATTACAATATTGATTATATTGTTTAATTTTTTTGGCTGGCTATTATTGGTTTAGTATTTTGCTTTGCCTATAATTCTCACTGATAGCAAACAAAGCTCTATATTTTAAGCAAATTCTTAGATAGATTTAGCCTATTGAAAATTCATAAACAAACTTCTACATTTGCTTTAATTTATTGTTGGTGGCATATTTTTTGAATGTTGAAGTTTGTCCTTTTTGTTATTTTGATCTAGAGACTCTTTAGTCTTTCCCATAAGATATTGTCCACTTTCTAAGGCTTGTTGGTAATTGTATTTGTATTATGTGTGATTGTTAATGTGCTGCACCCAACATTAAATATGTCTATGATTGGTTTGTTTTGGTTGTTGTATAGTTTTTACTTTAAAATTCATTATGGAAAATGTGCAAGCTATGAAAGGGGACTATGAACCTAAAACTACCACCACCGTTGCAGCACCCATTGAGTATAAACCTACCCAAGTTGAAGAAGCACCACCCTCCAAACATAAAAGGAGCACAACATCTAAAATGTGGAATCATTTTGAGAAGTTTATAAACAAAAAAGGTGAGCATCGAGCCAAATGCAATTACTGTAGAAAAGATTTTGCTGGCCATTCTTCTAAAACTAGGATTAAGAACCTTTAGCGGCATTTTCACACCACTATGGCTAAGTTGTGCTACAAGATATATTTAGAAGAAGTTAAATGTTTGAAAAGGTATTTTAAGAAATCTAAAGTTCGTGTGTCACTCACCACAGATTGTTAGACTTCAATTTAAAATTCCAACTACATATGTCTGACAGCTCATTGGATTGATGAGGAATGGACATTACAGAAATGAATTTTGAATTTTTGTGTGGTGAAAAACCATAAAAGGGATACAATTGGCAATGAAATTAAGGGATGCTTACTCTATTAGGGTATTGAGAAAGTATTTGCAATTACAGTTGATAATGCTTCTTCTAATGATTTTGCTATTGTGTTTTTAAAAAAGCGTTTGAAGGATTTGGGAGGTCTAGTGTGTGATGGAGAATTCTTGCAAATGTAGTGTGCTGCTCATATTTTGAATTTAATTATTTCAAAAGGCCTTAAAGATATGAATCAATCTATTGAATTTATTCGGCATGCAATCAAGTTTGTTAGATCTTCTCCTGATAGGCTTAAAAAATTTAAGAAGCTTGTTGAAAAATTGAGAATTAATTCAAAGAGTCTTCTTAGCATGGATTGTCCCACCAATTAATTTACATAATTGTTAAATTATGATTGTTTGCATTATGATATGCAATTTTTTCTAACATTTAAATCTTTTGCTTATCTTAATAGGTGGAATCCAACATACATTATGTTATAGAATGCCGTTAAGTTCACTAAGGTCTTTGACAGAATGGAGGATGAGGATCAAGATTACAAGAACTACTTCAAAAAGAAAGTTAAACTATCTTCCAACTCAAGCTATGTTGATAGGATGGAAGAGGAGGATGAAGATGAACTTGGTGATCATAATGGTGATAAAGGTACAGTTAAACCTCTTAATGTCTATGATTGGAATGTGGCATAGGAATTTCTCACCTTTTTGGAGTTGTTTTATACTATGACTCTTCAATTTTCTAGATCAAATTATGTAGAAGAAGTGTCGAAGGTTACCTCTGAAACTATCATGGCACTTGCAAAAGGCTTTAAGTCCATCAACCTCTCTCTCCTTTGAATATTGCCACAATGCCACTGCTCTTCATCGTATTACTAAGAACATGGAGAAAGTTTGTATGATGAAAACTCGAAGATTGACTTTTGCTAGACAAAGAGAGATGTCTATGCTTGTGAGTATTGCAATGACAGCATTACCTGAGTGCTCTGCACAAGGTATCTCTAATATAACTTGGGTTTTGTCCAAAATTGGAGGCAAACTCCTTTATTTTTTTTGGAAATGGATAGAATTGCAGGGGTTGCATTGTCCATGGTAGGAGAATTCAATTCTCAAAATGTTGTTAATATTGCTGGTGCTTTTGCTTCAATGCAGCACCCTGCTTCTGATCTCTTCTTGAAGTTATCTAGGAGAGCTTCAGATTTAATTCATACTTTAAAAAGAGCAAGAACTTCTTTTTTTTTTCCTTGTCAAGCAACTGCGACTGAGACGGGTTCTTTTTTTCATACTTTCCAAACTGAATTTATAAACATCCTTAAATGTCAAGCAACTGCGATTGAGAATTTTTTTTTCTTTTTCATTCTCGTGCGAGCATAGGCGATTTAGGACAATAGGAGGCAAAATGATGAGTAAAAAACAATAAGGATGAACCCATATCCATAGGTTCATTGGTGAAATCATAACTCAATAACTAAACACTTGGTTGGAGGCTTCATAAGAACTTATGTTTGCAATGCTTGTTAGTTAGTTAGCACAAGTATTAGCTCCCTTGAAAATATGGTGATAGAATACCTTTTCGTCTCACATAATCATTATCTTCCATAACTGCAAAGAAAGGTGTGATCTCCCTTGAATTTTTTAGATGTTCTCCTTGTTTCCATTGAAACCAAAAATAATTTTTTTGAAACCAAAATTTCAACAAAGATGTAAAACATTTTTTGATAGCCAACAATTTATTTGCTAGTATACTACAAAAGTGTCCCAATTTTCTTATAAATCGGCATCTCTAATTGTCTTACTTGGCTCGTACAAGTCTCCTACATGTGGCCTCTCCCTCATTATTAATTAGCGCTCTAGTCTAACAAAAGAAGTTATGCAATTTAGTCCTCTGGCCAAATATGAAAAAAATAGAAGTAAATGGAGATACAAGGATTGAACCTCGATCAGTGCATCAATCGCCCTACCATTTAAGCTACATTCCCTTTTTGAATTAAATGTGAACAAAATAGTATATTACTCATAAATTTATCATCACCCTATTATATTATCATTATTAATTAACGCCACTTCCTCCCTCTATGATAATTTGATTTGGTTCTTAATTTTAATATGATGGCGATGTCTTAATTAACATATCTTAACATTTATATTAGAGTGAATGAAGGTAATTTTTTCTCTTACAATAAAGAGTTTCCTTTTCTCATATATGATGTTGCAAAACTATCATGATCTATTTTAATATTGTTCTACATGAAATTTTCCTATATATATATATGAAGCTTTCATTATTGCAGGAAAATAATATCCAAGATGAAAAACCTTGTATACTTGACAATCATAGAGCAAGAAATATGGGTTGAATTTAGTGGGCCGCTCGTTTAAACCTATTTCTATAAGGATTTAGGAAAAAAAGCATGGATTTTTAGTGTGCATAACCAAGCTTCTAAGCACACCTTATTAGGTCATGTAAAAAGGAGTTCAAGCTCTAACAACCCCCCAGCCCATATTAATTTTTTAAAAAAATTACATTAAAAAAAAAAAAATTAGGAAATATGAATGTTCTACAATTCATTTTCCCAGTTAGTTTATGAAGTAAAATAAGTTTTGTAGCCATGAACTCCATTTCCCTTTTGTTTCCTTGGTGAATTTGTTATCTAAAATGTTTTTGTTATAGTACTGTGAAACAATTATTGTTTTGGTTCTTTGATTTGTTAAGCGAGTTTAGGTTAAAATATTTGATTCTCTTATTTGCATTTAAATTTAAATTGTTGTGAGTGCATTAGCTATACTGATGGTTTTTTTATGAAAAACTATTATTTTTTATATATTGAATCACCTTGATGATTTGGAATTAGTTTTCTTTTTTTATCCTATCTGGAAAATCAAATTGGACTAGCCAATTCACCTAGTAACTAGGTGAACTGGCCAGTTGGCCAATTTGTTTATGATCTAATTCGAGATAGTGTTAATCAAGACTAACCTAGTTATCTCATGGTGTCCCAGTCAACTTAGTCTATTTAATTGAGCAAAATTATTTAACTTTTTGTTGTGATTTTACTAAGATTGTTGAATTTTTGTTGGGATTGTGCTAACACGTATAAGATTTTTCTCTCTTTATTGAATGTTTATTAGTTTTTTAAGTAGAACTAATGATTTTTTATTTACATATTCATTTTTTTCATATTCAATCAGGAATATATTTTGTGTATATATATAATCTATATGTTTACCTTTAAATTAAGTTTTTGCCATGTAAACTTTGCATAGCTTGATTTGTCACTATGTATGATAACAGAGAATCTAGCGTTCACAAAGGAGACAATATCTATTATTAGATATATCAATGAAAAATATTCTCATTTTTCACTCAATATTTTTAGTAAAAATCTAGATTTCGATATTACATGTTTTATTTTTTATTTTTTAATTTTTAAATAACCAGGATATGTCTTGAAGAAGCAAAAAGATTTTCTCTCTTTAATGTATGGCCTTCTTGAGTGACATTTATACATATGAAAATGAGACTTTTTTCTTGTAGAACAAGAACACTTGTCTTGATCTTTTCTCTTAATTTTCAAATAAGGGCTTTTTGCAAGCAGGTTGTAGCTTTGTTATCCATTTTATTATTGACTTGAAAAATTTCTACTGCTCACTAAGCTTATCAATTATCAATTACTGAGTGTGCTAATCGGTAGATTTTTCTAGAGGATATACTAGTCATATCTCTTTGAAGCACATTGATAGATCTGTGAAGCTAATAGGTAGGACTTTGCAAACAAAAAACTAGAGGACTAAAGATGTAGCTTTGCCAAAAGAATGTTATAAGAACTAAGTTGAAACTTTGCAAACAAAACAATTTTTACATTTATACATCTCTAGTTAAATATTTAAAAGATAAGTCATGCTATCCTCTTTTTGTGATTTTAGCTCCATTTTTTTGGGAATAAAATAGGAGGCAACATGATTGGAGTAAAAAAACGATACGGATGAATCCATATCCTTGGGTTTATTGATCAAATCATAACCAATAATAGCTAAACATTCTATGGGAAGTTGCCCAAGAACTTATGTTTAATAATAAGGAAAATGTGCATTAAGTATAAGCCAATCAACACAAGTATTAGCTCCCCTAAACATATGGTCATAGAATACCTCTTCTTAATCATTTTTCTTATATCTTCCAGAACCCCAAAGACAAGGTGCAATCTCCCATGAATTTTTTAGATGATCTCAATTGTTTCTGTTGAATCCAAAAATAACTTTTTCGAAACCAAAATTTCAACAAAGATCTAAAATGTTCTTTGATTGTCAACATTGTTTTTGCTATTATACTAGAAAAGTATACTAGTTTTCTTATAAAGTGGTCTCTTTAATTGTCTTACTCATCTCATACAAGTCTCCAACAAGTAGCCTCTCCCTCATACTAATTTTCCAACAAAAGAAGTTATGCGATCTAGTCCTTTGAAAAAATAACAGTAAATAGAGATGCAAGGATTCGAACCTCAATAAGTGCATCAATCGCTCTACCATTTGAGCTACATCCCCTGTTTTAATTTAATGTGAAGAAAATAATATATTACTCATAAACTTTTTCTTCACTGTATTATATTACTGTTATCATTAACGCCTCTTCCTCCTTTTGTAATAATTTGGCTTGATGGCTGATGGACTTTTCGTGGAAAAGAGGGAGAAAACAATGGCATAGTACGGTTACGTCCCTCACCTCTTTCCCCTTTGGTTATTAGTTTCCATGAAAGATTGTGGCAACCTTAACGCGCGTTTTAGCTGTTGAGTGTGATTCATTTATTATCACAATTGTTAAGCAATATTGAACATTGGAATGCAAAAAACAAAATGTACTGCAATTATTAGAATGAAAAATTCTGAATAATATTCTGCTTAGCAGAAATAAATAGATCAGGTTAGGCATATAAGCAAGCAGAAATCACGTCTTCCATAGAAGCACAAATATTTTAGTAAAAAACGCGTGTTTCTCATAATCCTAAATAGTCTTGGGCTTTGGGCTTATTCACGATGTATCAAAATATTTGAATCATCATTTTTTCATGTATTATTTTAAAATAATTTTTATTTTAAAATTAATTATTTTTAATATTATAAAAAATATAAAATATACTTTTTAGAATGCTTAAACAATGTAAAAGATTCAACTTTTTTCAAAAAAAAACATTGTGGATCATAAAGTTTAAAAAATCAATATTAAAATACATTTTAAATTATTGATATATTAAAATTAATAAAAATATAACATCATTAATACTTTTATTTTTCCAAGAAAATATTTGTCATAATGTTCTCAAATATATGGTCTTTTGGTTAAATAATTAATTAATATTTAATATATATTTTTAAAAAAATTTAAACTTTTATTCAGGTATTTTGCCCTGTTCCAAAATATACAATTTTTTTTAAGTCTGACCTTAAATTTTTTCCATATTTATTCAAATTGATCCGTCAGGTTACTCAAATTACCAAATTCTATTTAGTGTTAAGTTTTTTGTTAAGTGCTTTGAATGCAAGGAAAAGTTTAAACTCAATCTCACATGTAAGAGTGGAAAATGGTTGTGCCAAGTTAAATTTTGACAATATAAGCATGAGCTTGTGCAATAGATCAGAAGCCTGAGCTTGATTTGAAGCTCATATAAGACTTTTTTTACAGTTCAAGCTTTGAGTCTATCTAAAACGTAACTTGACCTGGAAGCCTTTTTAAAAGCATATTTGAAAGTAAGTTTTTTAAATAAGCTTTAAAGGTTTCATATAAATTGTAAGATTATTAAAGGTTATTTATATACAGCCTGATTTACCAACTAAGATAATAATCAAGAAGACTTATCAACTACAACACAATAACAAAATTGAAATCAATATATGCATAAGTCTAATCTAATTGAAAACATAACTAATAAACTAGAAATGATAAGGAACATATTGATTAAAAAGCAAATGGTGAAACCGGTATATAATAAATTTATCATACAAAATATAATAAAAAAGAACATAATCAAGGAAGAAATATCTAGTACTTTCGAGTTTTGTTTTAGAAAGAAGAATGAGAAGGGCTGAAGAAAGGGAGTGGAGTTAATTATATCAAAATTTTTAAATTAAATATTATATATTACATATTATAT